CCCGAAAGCTTGTTCTCAAAATTGTATGTTTGTGCAAATAAAAAAAGTATCATGGACAGTACTCGATTGTTTCTGTCGCAAATGCACTAATACAGCTACAATCACCTCAACCAAATTAAAGTGGTTCCAAAGGCAGAAAGTTTTTTTTTACCGTCAAGCATTCTATACATGAAGGCTGAAAACCTTCTGGGTGCAGTGCCCACCCTTCTACTTACCTGAATTCAATCTCGATCCAGCAATGTGCATGAGAGCTATGGCCTTCTGTGGTCTTTCTCCTTGTTGGCTCACGCAATTACCCAATCACATCCAGTGAGGAGAGAGAGGTAGGGGTTGGGCCGAGCCATGCTCTGTGTATGTGAATGGACAATGTCCATTCACAGGAGTGCAGCTCGGGAGCAAGCCTGCATGCTACTGGGGGTATGTGGCCAGGAGAGGAGCCAGGATTTCCGGCGGGGACGAAAAAAGAAGAGGATCGGAGCTGCTCTGTGCAAAACTAATGCACAGAGCAGGTTAGTATAACATGTTTGTTTTTTGTTTTGTTTTTAAATTACAACCTTTAGATTAGAGACACTTGTGGGCTCCATACACTTTAGCATTTTTAAGCTCCTAGAAGCTGTTATTAGCATTTTTTTTACTGTTCCTAGAAGCTAAATAGTTTTCTCCTAAAGTAGTGTGCATGAACACATAGGATATTAGCGTTTTTTTTTGAGCTTGCACATCGAAGAGCAGGAAAAAAAATGTTTTTGGAGCGTTTTTCCAGCAGAAAAAAAAGCTAAATGCTCCTAACAGCTTTTTTTTTTTTTTTTTCTTTCTAGCTGTTTTTCTACATGTACTGTAAGAAAGCTAATAAAATGCTAATGCTCCTAAATGCTACTAAAATGCTATTACCAGCGGGTTTTTTTTTCAGCATTTTTTTTTTTTTTTTTTGCTTAAAAACCGATAGTGTGCATAGAACCTTAGGCTCCATGCACATTAGCTTTATTTGTTAAGCTTCTAGAAGCTGTTATTAGCATTTTGTTTTCTGCTCCAAGAAGCTATAGTGTTATCCTATGTGTCTATGCACACTACTTTAGGCTATTAGCACTTTTTAAGCTTCAGCGTCTAGGAGCAGAAAAAAATTGTTCCTAATTGCTGCTAAATGCTAATAAAATGCTCCTAACAGCTTTTTTTTTTTCTAGATTTTTTTTTTTTTTTCCTACTATAAACTATATCCTACTATACGCTATTACCAGCATTTTTTTGTATTCACCATTTTTTCCAGCATGTATCCAAAGACTGTGCAACAAAATGACTTCTCGTTCGGCAGATAAAACGGAGACCTATACTGTATATATATATATATATATATATATATATATATATATATTTAGTGGCTTGTCTGGAGTTGTGCTTTAACTGTAAGCAGTTCCAGTTCTGGAAGCTGCTGCTAACTGAGGATTTCCTCCAACCAAAATGACATGCTAAGCTGCACAGTTGAGAAAGCTCTAGTAGGGAAATATGTAAACATTTGGAATGGGTGGAATGTTTTTAAGTTCCCGGTATTTTAGAACATGTTAGTTTGTGCGTGTGTAATAATTGCAGCCCAGATGTGTCATAGTGAGTTGGTAAAAAGTAGTAAATTAGTATATGAGTGGGAGGCTAGAAGGGGATCCCATCTGTGATGCACAGTTTCCTGGGAAACCTGATGGTGGCGGAAGGAAGGGGAGTGTGGGCTTACTTATTCTACACAGATAAAGAGCAAGAAGAGGAAGAAAGGAGGAGGGGAGGAGAGGGAGCTAAGAAGCAGTGGATCTTGGGATCTTTCATTCTCCCTTCCCATTATTTTTTTTCATTCTTGCCAGATGTTAAGGATTCTTTTGTTTTTTTTTTTTTTTTTTTTTTTTTCCTCTTTTACTTTTTCCCTTGTGCTACTTAAACGGCTTCTAAGAAGTCTTTTTCCAGAGGGATGCTTTGTAAAAAAGCTTTAGGAATTGGTTACCTAAATGACTGCAACAGTGTAAACTCTTTGTAGCAGTCTGATCATCATCTACACTGCGTATTTGACTATGGCTGGAGAATGAAAAGACATTTGGACCTTTGATTATTAGCAGCTAGGAATTTGTCTTTGGGGCATTTATAAACCCAGTGCTGTCTAAAACTCTGAAAACTCCTAAAGTAACACTGTAAAAAGATGGGATGCTTCAGCTCGGTTCCACAAGAAGATGTCAAAGTAGTTGGGTGAGTTTGGCTCTATGGTGTGTCTGTTCGTGCAATTTTTTGTAGTCAGAGCCCATATGTCTCTGTAGAGGGATTTGTGCAGATTGATGGAGTTGAGAAAGTTGGACTGAGCCAGACTTTCCTGGTTTTGTTTCCAGTGCTGTTTGAACTTTCTGCTCGTGAGAACACAAGTTTCATGTTTCCTCTCTCTCTCGGGGAGTGGAGCTCAGACTTGCTCAGTCTATTAGTGCCATGTTCAAGTTGAAGTAAATGCTGTCTTTTCTTAGGGTCTTTGTAAATGTAACTTTGTAATTCAGTACATGTGAGTGGTGTGTTTTTTTTTTTTTGTTTGTTTGTTTTTTCTGTGCTGCAAGACCAAAGTTTGTCTTGAATTGTTTCCGAAATACATTCTACTAGAAATGAGGAGCAGAAATGCTACAATAATCAGTAATCACAGTTCCCATCCTTCTTCTTTTTTTTTCTTTTTTTTTTTTTTTTTTTGAAAATTCTTTAAACTGCTTTTTTAGAGTACAAACATATACAAAAATAAGACGCATTAGTGGATGCCAGCAGATAAGACAATGAACCAGGTGCGGTCCAATTACATAGAGATTCAAATTGTCAGTTTCAAAAACAGCAAAGTAGAGCACACTGGTCCCAAAGGTAGTACAAACAGATCAGTCTATTGACATAAACAAATAGCAGTAGCATCCAAGACAGGGAAAAAGGTAGGGAGAAAGAAGAGAAAGGAAGGGGGGTGAAGAGAAGGAAGAAGAGAGGTGTAAAAGGAGAATGAGGAAGGTTCCCATCCTTTGTTATGGTAGCAATACAATAAACAAGATGTTTACATTCACTGATGTGCATTCAACCCCAACTCTATATGCTCTTCCTAAATCTGTGTAGGTCTAAAAGCGTTATGATGGATATACGTACACATAGGCTGCAGTGTTTTTTTGGGTGTTTTTTTTGTTTTTTGTTTTTTGGGCATGTGTCCTTATTCACATAAAATTACATGTGAGTTTCTATAGAATTGGTTACTGACAACTTTTGACAGTGTTTTTACCCTAAGCATTACTGTTTATTGGCTAAATTAAGACCTGTTTTCACCTTTTTTTCCTTTTTTTTTTTTTTTTTTTTTTTTTTTTTTGTTTTTACTGAAATACTAAAAATGCATGGCACAAAGTCTGGTGCAGCTCTGAATAGAAACCAGTCAGTTTCCAGTTTTATATATTTTATTTTTTTTTTTTGTCTAAGCTAAACAAGCTGAAGTTAAAAGCTGATTGGCTACCATGCACCAGATTTTGCACTCTCCATGGCCAATTCACACTGACTTGTGCTAAAATGTATGGAAAATGGATGTGCATTTTCATCCATTTTAGTTGCGCGCTGATGTCCACATACATTTTGTAGCAAATTTGCACAACGCAGGTGAACACAGCCCTACGGTGTGAATAGGACACATTGGAAATTATTGTTTTTCAGATGTCCTTCCATTGATCTGCAATTTACAACTGTGTGAAATGCAGATCAGCACACTGGTGTGAACTGGCCCTTAGTAAATCAACCTCCTTGCCTTAGAGCTCTTTCACACTGCTCTGTAGCAGTGTTTCATATGCGTTTCCGGTGCACAATTCCTGTGTTTTTGATGGTTCCTTGTGGAAACTACAATGCATGTATTTTTTTTTTTAAAAGCAGAATGCTGGAAGTTAGCTTTTAGCCCCAGGGCACACTGTCACACTGCATATGATTCGCACAGCATCTGCATAAAAAAGGTACGGGCAGCTTTTTTTTTTTTTTTTTTTTTTTTGTTCGCATTGGAACTGGATTGCATGGGTGTTCATACCCATGCGATCTGGTTCAGGCAAATGCTCTGCATTTTGTGACCTGCTTTTGGAGTGTCTTTAACTTCAAATTGACACCCGCAGCAGATCGCATGAACGTGGTGCAATTGCTATATATGGTGTGGGAAATGCACAAGATTCGCTTATTTTCCCACACCGCATCAGTCTGAACCAGGACTTAAATAGAAATTGGAATGAAATGGATGATTACATCATTTTAGCACTTTCCCTAATATATTGTAGTGAGCTTGTTTTCCACTTGTAGTGGAGGTAGCTTTTCATGCAGAAGTGAAGTCAGTTATGAAATTATGTATTCTCACATGTTGATTCTGCCCCCCAATCATCATCTGAGATCATGTATTTACAACGTATGCTGCTAAGTCCTCATGCACACTGGACATTTATACAGCTGCTGTTTTTGGTTTTTGGCATTTTTTCTACAGCTAGTTAACTCCCCAGCATGTTATCCTATGAGTCCATGCACACATAGGCTTTAATCAGCGTGTTTTGGCAGGGGCATTTTCTGGCTGGAAAAAACCCCCAGAACTAGTGGGTTTCAAGAAGAGTTTTTTAGCTGTAAAAATGCTCTAATGCCGGTAAAAACTGAAAAACACAGATAAATGCTGAAAAACGCGGGTAGCTGAGCGTTTTTGAGCCTGAAGATTTTGTGGGAGTATATCTTTGCTAAAAAAAAAAAATGCAAACCCTGAAAAACACTAAAAAGCATGGAAAAAACCTAATGCAAAAATGTGAAATAAACTCACGTTTTTATTGCAGCATTCTACAGCTAACACTGCTGGCGGTTTTATAACGTCCAGTGTGCATGAGACCTAATACTTGTCGGCATTCATGTATCTTACAGTGTAGTAAATTTAGCATTTGTCATTTTTTGTACAAATGAATATAAACAGTAGTTCTTTATGTCATGAAACAAAGTGGTAAAATTGTGCATTTTATTTTTAGGACAACCTCTTCCAGGGAGAGCAGCTTTGTGGAAAAGATGAAGAAGACGGTGAGTTATAATTTTGTTTCTGTGATGGCTGTGGGAATGTATCATATGCACATTGATCTATCAAGATGTATTTCATATTTACTATGTACACAGTAAGTAAATTATATATACTGGAAAGAGGTGGATGGTTAAAGTGGAATTTTACTCATAACAGCTGATTAAATAAAATGTTCTTTAGCAAGGAACATACATTCCACATTAATAACTATGCTACCAAAATTAGCGTGTGTTGTAAATTGTCTCCCGCATTGCTCTTCTTTCCTCTTGCTGGTGGCTGCCATTTTGTTGAAGTCCAGAGCCTTGAGTAGCAGTTAAGAGAAGTGTGGACTTTTTTTTTTTCCCCCAATTTATACTTACTTAGGTGGAGGTAGCATCGGTCCAATGTTTCATCTGTCCTCCGTTGGCTCAAAGTGTGAAAGCTCACTGGAGCGCTGGGTTGTGGAGAGGGAAGGAGTGGCTGGCTCAAACACTCAGTGGCTTGCTGAGAGGCTGAGCCAGGTGTTGTTCCAGACTCTGGGGTGGATCCCAACTTTGAAGTCCTGGACCGGCTCAGTGACATCAGCCGACAGCAGGTTTCAGCCCGCTGTCAGCTGAAAATGGGTCACAAGAGTGCAGAACGAACTGCACTCATGTGATCCACAGAAGAAGTACAGCCAAAAAAGCTTCGGCTGTACATCTAAAGCAGAATTAAACCCACCTATTCTTTTCAGCCAAGGAAGCTGCCATCTATTTAATCTGCAACTGCCATAGTGATGCACATATAATCCGTTGTAACAGTCATTTCATGGTTTGACAGTTTGGTTGAGAACACAAGCCGATGTGACAGTTGGCATTCCTGTTAGTTCCACTTTATTCTTTAGGCTGTCAGCAGATTGGCCTCTACAAATTCGGCACAGTGCTTAAAAATGCTTAAGAGTAGAGAGCAACTGAGCATGTGCAGAACAAGGTGAGACAGTGTATTTCTGGATTTTAAACGGTATAGACACTTATTTTTAATGTTTTAATTAGCTATAACTGCAAAAGGGACCAGCCTGAAGTGATCTAGCAAAACTTAATTCTCTGACTAAAGTTCCACTTCCACAATTTGTGCTAGAGGCAATACAAACTGAATTAGGACAGTTACTAAAGCTGCTCGTCAACGGTAAGGGGCTGGTACATGACAAGTGTCTTAAAGGAAAAAGCTTTGTCTATACTGACCAGTCAGAACCAGTCAGAATTTTTTTTTTTTTTAAACTAAGACTAAATGTGGCAGTTGGAAACTGAGGCACAACATTTCAGTGCAGTTATGTTATTTCATACATTTTAGGTTTGGAATGATATAAGTATGTATGTGTCATACCTGGCTAATCCCCATGGAACTGGAAATCACCGGAGTAGATACCGCTACTACATTGATTGCTGCTGGCTTCTAGGTCCCAGGCTGAGTGGCTGCCCTGCTGCTTGGTAAATACAGGAGTTTGATTCCTCCTAATAGGCACCTTTGAGAGAACACCTTGCATTTTTCTCAATGAATGCAAAGCAAGGTAGAGAGAGTTACATCACTGCCCTATTTCTCCATCTCATTCAATCAGAGAACGCTTTTCATTCATCAAGAAATATTCTAAATATTCTTTGAATGTTGCTGAACAGGCAACCTCGTGTTCACTACGCAGCAGGATAGCTGCTTGGCAGGGGCCCCAGAAGCTAGTGGTTATCATTCTAGTAGTGGTGTCGGTTAGTGATTTCCAGCTTCCACAGGGATCAGCCAGGGTATGGCACATGCATACTTGGTCCAAGTGGTACCAAAGTAGCTATGCAAATATGCCCTACCTGGAAGTCCCTTTTATAACCCTAACTGCTCCTTCAGTTTAAATTGGCTAAATGCATTCCAGGTGTCTCAAATCAAAAGGTGTGCAATGCCATATTGTTGTGTGTGTGTTTTTTTTTTTTTTTTTTTTTTTTCATTTTAAAGCAGTCATATCCTGATTAAAAAGCATGTCTGTAGCATGCTGGGAAGGCATAGGCTTTTCTACTCAGTCTGTGGCTGGTTTTAAAGAATATTAACTGGAAGACTTTTGCACACTTTTTGGTTTCAATGTATTTAGGCAAGTTAAACTGAACCTATACCCTGTACCTAACCTCCAGTACTAATTCCAGTACTAATTGCAGACCTCCAGTAAAATGTCTATAAATACTTTGAAGCTATACAAGCTTTCAAGCTATACAAAGGCCAGCCACTTCCTCAAGCCCAATGTCTGTACTGAGGTATGGGCTTTCAGTTGGAGAGCTGGAGGAAGTTTTTGACTGAGTGTGGTAATTACCACACTTGTATCCCTTTGCGAACTACAAGTTTGTCTGCCATGGTAGAAGATTGGACTTGTAGTTTATTCAGTTACAGATCTGTGCAGGCAGCGCCCCAAACACAGCTGTGCTGATCTCAAAAGTGACAGCAGGTGTGGGGAGAACAACTCGCACAAATTGTCACAGGAGGTGTTTGGTGATGGGTCCATTTGCACCATATTACATGTTACACCTTCAATACGGTCATGTTACTTGGCAAAGGTATTTGACCAGCTCTCTTCTAATCACTGATTTTTCTGTACTGCGTTAAGCCGAGAGATCTCCGTGAGGTACTGCAGATTCCACACTCTAGCCTACATTTTAATGAAACCTACAGGGACATCAAAAAACAAAAAAACCCCAAAACTTTATAGGATATTAACAATTATGGTTGGATTGGGAAGTGGTTGTTTACGCATAGGGGCTGATTTACTAAAGCTGGAGAGTACAAAATCTGGAAGCTGCTTGGTTTCCATGCAGAGCTGCACCACTTTTTTTTCAAAGTTTAAGCCCCTGGTCACATCAAAGCTGATTTTGAAATCGTGCGACTTACAGTAAAGTCACACAATTTCAAAATTGGGTGTCCTGCCGCTTTTAGTTGCAATTTGCAAGACATCTGACACAGATTTTATGCAAATTGCACAAAAGTAGTGCATGAACTACTTTAGAAATCGGTGCGGCTCATACCAAGTCGGAACCGTACCGATATGACCGCTCTAATAGCGAACAACAGGGTTCAACTCGGCATACGATTTGCAAGTCGCATGGCATGCAAAATTGCACCCGATGTGACTGGGGTGTAATAGAACTAGCTGAAATTAGAATCTGATTGGCTACCATGCAAAGATGTGTCAAATTTTGCACTCTCCAATTTTAGTAAATCAACTCCATAAACTTTTATCTGTACAGATTGTGGCAGTCCAGTTAGCAGGAATCCGTTGTTTGGCAAAAAACAGCATTGAGCTGTTAAAATCTAGAGAAAGAACTCGTGTTAAAAGTCCGAAGATCATATGAGCATGTTTGATAAGAGTGCATGTTTATGTGCCAGTCATAAAGAAAAAGCTTTCTTAACTTAGCGGTGTAGATAAGTAACATGTGTTTGGCTTTATTGCCTGTACCATATGAATCCAGTGTACTTCCAATACTAATAGCACTTTTTCCCACTTTGCATATAGGGAAAAAATATAGTTGTGTTTTATGGGTCTCAAACAGGAACAGGAGAAGAATTTGCCAATCGACTTGCAAAAGATGCCCATCGTTATGGCATGCGTGGTATGGCGGCTGACCCTGAAGAATTTGAAATGGTAAGTGAAGTATATGCGCACTGTCTGGAGTGGTTGTAAGTTATTGCTTTTTTTCTTTTTTCCGTATGTTTAACCCCTTTGCGCCGCCGCCTCCTGGCCTTTTAAGAGGTTTTCGGGAGACGGGGCGGGGTTTTAAGGTCATGTGACCGTCATGATTTGCTGTCACGGCGGTCACATGATCGGAAAAGGTCCTGATCGCAAGGGGAGATTGGGACCTTTCCGTGAGTCATGGACATATGTGCAGGGTGCGTGCTCTCGGCACATATGTATTTTCAAATGGTACGCAAATATGCGGTCGCTCGGTCAAATGATTGGAAAAGGTCCCAATCGCAAGGGGAGATCGTGACTCACAGAAAGGTACCAATCTCCCCTTGCGATTGGGACCTTTTCCGATCATGTGACCGAGCGACCGCATATTTGCCTACCATTTGAAAATACATATGTGCTGAGAGCATGCACCCTGCGTGCTCCCTGCACATATGTCCATGACTCACGGAAAGGCCCCAATCGCAAGGGGAGATTGGTACCTTTCTGTGAGTCATGGACATATGTGCAGGAGGCGTGCAGGGTGCGAGCTCTCAGCACATATGCATTTTCAAATGGTACGCAAATATGCGGCCTCTCAGCGTCAAGGCCCAGACGCCAAGAGGCCACATATTTATGTGCGCTCAGCGTCTAGGGGTTAAAAGAATCTTTTTCAGCTTTTATGATTGCCTAAAACTCCCAAAAACATATTTTCTGAAAGCAGATACCCTGAAGGATAAAATGGTGGTAGTTCCAGATTTTTGTGTCTCAAAATCTTAGTGTAACAGTTTATCAAGCACAAATTTTCAGTAAAAAAAATACATTAACGTAAATTTTAGGTTATGCACAAATATAAAAGATAAGATTGCAGCAACTAAATAGGTACCCAACATGTTAAACCTTAAAATTGTGCACTCTTGGTCACTGGTTCAGGAAAGAAAATCGCTCAGTTTCTCCCATCAACCCTGACTGAAATCCCTCGCGCGAAGCTATTGTGTTCTCCCAGCAGGGAGGGGGGCCCTTCCGGGAGAGCTAAAGCTGCTGGAAATAATCACATGAAAAATCTGACAAGCTGATTGTGCCCAAGTTGTACAACAATCAAAATAAGTACAATCAGCCTGCCAATAGATGGTTTGAATCTCGTCCGGTTCAGCAGGAGCCGGACGGAATTCAAACCATTTATGGGCAGGCTGATTGTATCCAATTCGATTGTTGTACCAGCCTGTCAGATTTTTCATGTGATTACCCAAGTCGTACAACAATCAAATTGGGTACGGTTGGCCTGCCCATAGATGGTTTGAATCTTGGCCGGCCCCTGCTGAAGATTTGAACAATCTATGGCCCGCTTTAAGCTTTAATATACTGGGGCTTACAGCAGAAAAGTTGCATGCAGGCATCAAGTGCCTGCTGTACAGTCATATTGGCAAAGCCTGATTTAAAATGTTACTATACCCAGAACAGTAAAATCAAGCTGTATATGCAGTAAAGCATGCTTGATATACTCACTGTGGAACCTAACGGGTTAATCCTTAAGGCTGTTTGATCCTGTCTTCTCTGATCCTCCCTTTCTTTTGCTGTCTCCAATTTATCTGCCATAGTTAGAGCAGCAGTGCCAAGTCTGCAAATTTGTATTGCTAGAGAGGTGTTTTTTTTTTTTTTTTTTTTTTTTTTTTTTTTTTTTTTGGGAAGGCGCATGTGATCAGCACAGGGGTTATGCAGCCTCATAGGACAGTCAAAAATCCTCCTATAAGATTAACCAGTGCTCTGCTAGACACTGATAGAAGTCAAAAGACTGCTGTATATTGCTGATGAGAAAAGGTATTTAGCAGTTTATATTTACTAAAATAATTACATTTCCATGTTTTGTGTGTACTGTGGGAGACCAGATATAGTGAATGCAGGGTCCTGGGTTTAGTAAAATTTTTAGATCTGTTTTGCAGATACTGGTGTAACTCCTCCTACATCAGGTGTCGGAATCTGCGGTGTGTTACTACAGGCCACAGGTCAAAGCTCATTATAAGCTGAAGTCTGTGTTTTGCATAAATGGCACAAAGGGCACTTTGTAATATATTAAACATCTGAAGTTGTCTGTGTTTTGCTATTGATACACCAAGTGGATTGTTAAAATGTATGTGGAAATCCTACCAGGAAATAACATCAGTTCGGCATTACAGCAACCACAATTATCATCTCCAAATGCAAAGCTTAACTCTTAAGCCTGGTTCACACTAGTGTGATTTCTGACATGACTTGAGTCGCACAGAATTGCATGACAGTAGAAATCGGGTTCCATGCACACTAGCGTTTTCTTAAGTTCACAAAATGCTGGTAATAGCGGTTTTTAGTAGCACTAGCATTTTTTCTAGCGTTTCTACAGTACATGTAGGAAAAACAAAAAAGAAAGCTAGAAAAAAGCTGTTAGGAGCGTTTTTAGTATTTAGATGTGTTTTAATGGGGTTTTTTTCTGCTAGTGGAAAAACTCTACAAAACCTTTTTTTTTTTTTTTTTTTTTCCTCTGTGGAATTTATATCGCCCGACACCCAAGACATTTACTTCCGGGCATTGAGCAGGTAGTTTTTTTTTTTTGTTTTTTTTTTTGTATCTTCAGCCCTGCTGCGGGCAAGCAAACCCCTTTTGTTTTTAAAACATTCCTAATATCACCTCTGATTTAAATGCGGTATTGGTTCAAATTTATTTATTTTTTTTATCTGGACAAGTAAAATGTCACGAGGGATAAGTAGACTGGGGCACCGATTTTAGTCCACGGACAAGTAGTTTTTTTAAAAATTGTCCACATCCCAGTTCTAGACACTGAAGCTCAAAAAATGTTATTAGCCAAAAGCAGTGTGCATTAACACCTAGGATAACACTATTTGGGTTCTAGGAGCAGAAGAAAATGCTGATAACAGCTTCTAGGAGCTTAAAAAAAATGTTAGAGTGCATGGATTCTATTGGTGTTCAATGGTGTCCATTTACATCAATGCGACTTGACATGGAGAGATTTTGGAAAATGGTCCTACACTACTTTGGTGTGATTGCAGTATGACTTTTGCCCCATAGACGTTAATGAAAACACACAGAAATTGCATTTGACTCCAAGGTAAATCCTTGGTAGTAGTACCCCAAGGCATAAAATTGTGTCATTCAGATCAAAATTGCCTTGCATTACTGTGAACCAGGCCTTAAGAGAATCAATACAATTTTCAGACTTCATGGTCCATGATGCCTCACATTCTGGGTCCCCATTTTAGAAGCTATAGCTTTCCAGAAGAGCGGGATGTTTCATTGTGATGAGTCCTTCTGCCATTATTCATCCTTGTGCCATAACTCCAATTGCTGGCATCCGTTATTCTAATTATAGGTAAGGTAGAGTTGTGGGTGAACACTAGTCAATGTGCAGCTGCCTCGAAGAACATCCAGAAGACTGGATGGGTACCATGCTGGCGGGTTTCACTTTTGTGTGTTTCAACAGAATCACTACTAAGTTAGACTTGTGTGGACAGGCCAATACAGTATTCATCCAGGTGCATTCAGCTTCATTTGACATGGTACTGATCTTTTCTCCAGAGACATTATGAGCAACTTGTATTGTAATTAACTTGCATGGAGAGAAAAGCTGTTCTGAGGTGAACAAATGTACAAGTGTCTCTTATGAAGTGTCATCACATGGAGATGATGGCGATGTTATCTGTTCAGCATGGGGAACTTGCAGCCACAAAATATTATTATAGTTGTAAAAAGTATGGGGGAACAGCTAATGTTATTACATGAATTTAAATTCATGGTGTAAGCCAATGTGATGCCTATATTTAAAAATAGATCAAAGTCTTTACCAAGTAACTATGTTAGTGTAACGTCTATAGTTGGGATGATACTGTAGAGTTTTATAAAAGACTACATAGATGAGTTCTTGCTGAGAAAAAAAAATATTGTAAGCAACAGACAGCATGGATTTATGGAAGACAAGTTTCCAGACAAATCTGATTTCTTTTTCTGAGGAGGTGAGCAAAACCTTAGACAAAGAAGTGGCTGTGGACGTAGTATACTTAGATTTTGCAAAAGCGTTTGACACAGTTCCCCACCCACAACTAATGTGTAAGGTAAAGTCTACAGGCTTTGAAAAAATCAGGTAAATGAATCATATTCTGACTGGTCAAAGGTTATTAGTGGTGTACCCCAAGGTTCATTGCTGAGACCCTTACGTTTTAATATACACTATATTGCTAAAAGTATTGGGATGCCTGCCTATACACGCACATGAACTTTAATGGCCTCCCAGTCTTAGTCCATATTGAGTTGGCCCACCCTTAGCAGCTATAACAGCTTCAACTCTTCTGGGAAGGCTATCCACAAGGTTTAGGAGTGTCTATGAGAATGTTTGACCATTCTTCCAGAAACCATTGTGAGGTCAGGCACTGATGTCGGACAAGAAGACTTGGCTCACAGTCTCCGCTCAAATTCATCCCAAAGTTGTTCTCTTGGGTTGAGGTCGGGTCCAGTCAAGTTTCCCCACCTCAAATTCGCTCATTCTATTCGTTATGGAACTTGCTTTGTGCACTCGTGCACAGTCATGTTGGAACAGGAAGGGGCCATCCCAAACTGTTCCCACAAAGTTAGGAGCATGAAATTGTCCAAAATGTCTTGGTATGCTGAAGCCTTAAGAGTTCCCTTCACTGGAACTAAGGGGCCAAGCCCAACCCCTAAAAAAACAACCCCATACCATAATCCCCCCTCCACCAAACTTTACAATTGGCACAGTACAATCAGGTAACCGCCAAACACAGACACGTCCATTGGATTGCCAGACAGAGAAGCGTGATTCGTCACTCCAGGGAACACTTCTCCACTGCTCTAGAGTCCAGTGGTGGAGTGCTTTACACCACTGCTTCTGATACTTTGCATTGCATTTGGTGATGTAAGGCTTGGCTGCAGCTTCTCAGCCATGGAAACTCATTCCATGAAACTCTGTACCCACTGTTGTTGTGCTAATCTGAAGGCCACACAAAGTTTGGAGGTCTTTAGGTATGGACTCTGCAGACAGTTGGCGACTTCTGTGCACTTCAGCAAGCGCTGACCCCACTCTGTCATTTTACATGGCTTACCACTTTGTGGCTGAGTTGCTGTTGTTCCCAGTTGCTTCCACTTTGTTATAATACCACTAACAGTTGACCATGGAATATTTAGTAGCAAGGAAATTTCACGGATGGACTTATTGCACAGGTGGCAACCTATCATGGTACCACATTTGAATTCACTGAGCTCCTGAGAGCGACCCATTCTTTCACAAATGTTTGTAGAAGCAGTCTGTATGCCTTGGTGCTTGATTTTTTTTTTTTTTTTACACCTGTGGCCATGGAGGTGATTGGAAAACCTGAATCCAATGATTTGGAGGGGTGTCCCAATATGTTTGACAATATAGTTTATTTATAAAAGATGTAGGGTCTGAGACTAAAAGTACTGTTTCAGTCTTTACAGATGACACCAAGTTGTGCAGTGGAATAATGTCTTTACAGGATGTCTCCAATTTACAAGCCGATCTCAATGCACTGTTTAATTGGGCAACTGTGGCAAATGAGGTTTAATGTTGATAAAGTTAGTTATGCACTACAAATATGCAGGTATCATCCATACTAGGGGAGTACAACTGGAGGAGTAGGATCTGGTTGTTCTGGTAGATCATTAGCTTAATAATGGCATGCAATGCCAAGCTGCGGTTTCCAAAGCGAGCCTAATCCTTTCTTGCATCAAGAGAGGTATAGACTCCAGAGAGATCATTTTACCCCTGTACAAATCATTCATAATACCTCACCTGGAATATGCAGTTCAGTTTTGGGCACCAGTTCACGAAAAGGATAATGGAGAAAAATGACAGCCAAACTGATAAGAGGCATGGAGGAGATCAGCTGTGAGGAAAGATTAGCTGAACTGATTTTATTCTCTCTTGAGAAGAGGAGATTAAGGGGGGATATGATCAACATGTATAAAAATACATAGGTGATAGGTGGCCCATATAGTGAACTCCGTGTAGTGTAAGGTCATCACAGAGGACAAGGGGGCATTCTTTACATCTCAAGGAAAAGAGATTTAATCTACTAATATGGAAAGGCTTTTTCACAGTAAGAGCTGTGGAGATGTGGAATATACTCCCTTAAGAGTTGGTTCTGGCCAGCTCAGTAGATTGTTTTATGAAAGGCCTGGATTCTGTCCCAGATACACAGAATATAACTGGATACTAATATTTATAGGTAAAGTTGATCCAGGGAATATCTGATTTGCCTCTTTGGGGATCAGGAAGGAATTTTTTCCCCTGCTGGAGCAAATCGGATCAGGCTTTTATTAGGATTGTGTGTGTATATAGGATTGTGTACATTTTCTTTCCCCTTTTATTGGTTGAACTGGATTGACTTGCCTTTTTTCAACCAAACTAACTATGTATATATATCAAACAGTACTTGGTTTTCCACTTTAATTACATATTTTGTTATTGTATTTGTTATGTTGTCTGTATGTGTATTATGTTTGCTGGTTGCTGTAATATTTTCATGTATTATTGAAGACATCAGCACGTTGATTCTCCAAATTGAATAGAAATGATTATATTTTATCTTAAATATCAGTTGAGCACTTGGATGTGTTTGTATCTTGTGTTCTTTCAAATCATGATAGTTATTGTGTTCTTTGCTAGGTCTTAGCAACTGCAGAGTCCTTTGTGTAGAGATTTTTATTTTGTCACTCACCGCATATTTAATCAATTAGGACATTCCTCCTGAGGAAAACAGGGCTATGCATACAAGGAACTGGGATAATTAATACCAGGCTTCTTATACAGCCATCACTCTGACTGCCTTCTTTACCATGAGAAAGGTAACTAGACAATGAGAGGCAGACTAGAGAGACATTCCCATTTGTCACTGACTGCATTTTAGCTGGTGACATGCGAGAACTGCCATTAGCAGCTATAGCTCTAGCAGAGGAGTGTTCATGGTTATAAAGGTACCAGGAATCCAATATCCTAATGCATACTAATACAAATGCAAATAAGGCTTTTATATTGAAAATACAAACGTGCTCTGTGCTCAGCCACCTGCTGTACCGTGGTGACAGATGATTACAGGGGTGTCCCTTAATAAAATTTACTGTTTAGTTTGCTTGTCATTAAAGTTGTATGTGTGCGTGTGTGTTTTTTACCATGTATATTTTTGTATATGATCGATATATTGCCATTCTGTAGGCTGATCTGAGCCGTCTTACCGAAATCGAAAACTCCCTTGCCGTATTCTGCATGGCTACATATGGTGAAGGGGACCCTACAGACAATGCTCAGGATTTTTATGACTGGTTACAAGAAGCAGATGTGGATCTTTCTGGTCTTAAGTTTGCGGTAAGTGCTAAAGTAACATTTGCAGAAAGTTTATTCCTCAATGTTAAACTGTATTAATAGTTTTAATATTACTGAATGAGCCTTGCACTACCAATAGAGAGTATATCTTTTCTATCTGTAATTATTCAAGTACATTAGGACCAGGGGCGGACTGACCATTTGGAAACTCGGGCACTGCCCGAGGGCCCGGGGTCAGTAGGGGGCCCCATAAGATGTCCCTGGTACCTTTCTCGTAGGCTTTTTTGAGTTTGGGCAAGGACACAGGGGCCCCATGATCCCCTATTGCCCGGGGGCCCCATGAGTTGTCAGTCCGCCCCTGATTAGAACTAATCTAGGATCTGTTGACTGTTAGCAACCACCTATTTTCAAGTCTATTGTTTCTCGCCTCCTTGCAAATATGCCCACTACTTCTACGTCATGCATGCGTATAGATCATATTTACATATAAACAATATCTTAGAAATGTGCAGGAAGTTGAATTAACAGGAACACATAACCAACTATTATTTAAATGTGTTCAAATTATTTTCTGTTTTTTTAAGGTGTTTGGTTTGGGTAACAAGACATATGAGCACTTTAATGCTATGGGAAAATATGTGGACAAACGATTAGAGGAGTTGGGAGCCGAGAGAATCTTTGAGCTGGGCATGGGAGATGATGATGGCAAGTAAGTAGTAGGGATTGGTGAGCAGATGGAAGATATGAATGCATATTGTTCAGATAATGCATTTAAAAAAAAAAAAAAAAAGCACAATACAGTTTATGCTTATTTTTTTTAACTTGTCCTGGCCTGTTTCCTTTTTGTTGCTCAGCTTGGAAGAGGATTTTATCACCTGGCGTGAGCAGTTTTGGCCTGCAGTATGTGAACACTTTGGTGTGGAGGCTACAGGTGAAGAGTCGAGGTATGTTGTTGTACAAAGGTCTCCAAACTTTATAAAGAAAGGGCCAGTTAATTCTCCTTCAAACTTTGGGGGGCGGCGGACTGTGCCCAGTGGGAGTAACCCATGCTCAGTCTTTGGTATTAGGGGAAAAATGGTTGGTATCAGTGGGAGGAATAGTACTCCCATTGTTGTTGTCAGACAAAGGAAAATACCCCATCACTGGTGTCATTGGCAGGAATTATTCCCCATTGTTGGTGTCAGTGGCAGGAATTATGCCCCATTGTTGGTGACGGTGGCAGAAATAATGCCTCAAGGGCTGGATAAAGGCAAACAAAAGGCTGCAGTTTGAAGACCAATGTTATAGTTCAATATCTTGTTTCCCCCAAGTGATGACCTGATTTAAAATGTCAACTATGATGACCTTCATTAAGGCAAGCCAAAAGGTGTGATTGTTTTTTTTTGTTTTTTTTTCTACAAAAAGAAAATTGCTCAACAACAAGCTCAGTGTTGATGGGGGAATCCCTCCTGCAGTGCAATTGTATTCTGCCAGCAGGGAGCCTTCCCTGCCAGCAGAACACAATGATTTGTGCTTGCAGCTATAGCCTCCGGCAGTAATTGCATACAGAAAAATCTGACAGGCTGGCTGTACTGAAGTCAATTGATGGATTGACTTGAGTACAACCAGTCTGCCCCTAGATGGATCAAATATTGGCCGGTCCCTTCTGAACCTGGCAAGATTCTGTCTATCTATGGCCAGCTTTAGGCTTAAAGCTAAACAAAATCTGCCACACCTTAAGTAGCTGCTGTGATAAAGAATCATTTATCAGACAGTTGACACCCGTGACCTAACACAGATGTCAGTACTGTTAGATCAAGGCACTGCATAGCATAACGTATTTGGTTAAATATGCGATACAGTATTTCATAGCTACAGTTCTTAGGAAAACTGCTTGGGTCAGCAACCAATGTAACGTGAGATAGAAATATGCAGATTCATATAATAGATATTGAGTCTCTTTTAATGTCTTTTACCTGTGGCAGAAGTATCGCATTCAGTAACGAGATATATTTAATATTCTTGCAGCATTCGTCAGTATGAGCTGGTGGTGCACACTGATGAAAATATGAACAAAGTCTACACAGGAGAAATGGGTCGTCTTAAGAGCTATGAAACACAGAAACCGTAAGTGAGGCTTTTTTTTTTTTGCCTGCTTAAAATAGTCATGCTGGGAGAAATTGTCTGATTGCCTAGGAGCAGCAGCTTGGTATTGGCTTAGCAATACTGGACTGTGCATGTCAATGCTATTAGTATGGCTAAGGCCAGGCTCACACTGTTAGCTGTGCTAACGCAGTGCCCTTAATCCTTAATGGTACTCCAATGGCCAACTTGGCCAACGCGCTTGTGTTACAGTGCACCACAACACAGAGTAAAGCATTACTGTTTGCTGTGGTGGGCTGCGTTACAAAAAATTGTGCATTCCCCAATGTGCTAGTATTCAGCCCATTCAAATGAGTGAACTGTTTTGAAAGGACAGTTGTTAACTGACAGCATAATGCATGTTAACTCATTGAAATAATGCAATTCCTGCCTTAAAAGCAAAAATCAGCTATTGCAGCTATTTATGGGGAAATATACAGCGTTTGATCATGTTCTTACACTGCAGACCATTTGATGCTAAAAACCCATTCCTGGCTGATGTAACCGTGAACCGTAAGCTTAACCCAGGGTGGAGAACGCCACTTGATGCACCTTGAGCTGGAAATAACGGGATCAAAGATCAGGTATTCTGCTACCTGTACTTCTCTTTAATTGTTTTCTTTGTGTGCTTACACCCTGCAACCCAGTTGTTAATATGAGCAAGTTATTTATATAGCCCATAAAAACATGAGGTTAGACAGGAGCTGTTTACAGTAGGTGAAGGATATGATTATTTTTAAGCTGGTAGCACACATTACATCTCTTTTGGCTCTAGCAACACCAATACAATGTGAGTATGTGCTTTATTTCATATAAATCAGGGGTGTCCAAACTATGGCCCTCCAGGTGTTGAGGAACTGCAAGTCCCATGAGGCCTTGCAAGACTCTGACATCCACAAGCAAGACACCCAGAGGGAGAAGCATGATTTATTTATTTATTACAGGTACTTATATAGCGCTGTCATTTTTTACGCAGCGCTTTACATATATATTGTACATTTATATCAGTCCCTAACCCTCAAGGGGTGGTACAATCTAAGGTCCCTAACTTACATTCATACATACAAATACTAGGGCCAATTTAGACAGGAGCCAATTCACCTACCAGCATGTCTTTGGAGTGTGGGAGGAAACCGGAGTACCCGTAGGAAACCCACACAGGCACAGGGACAACATGCAAACTCCAGGCAGGTGGTTTCGTGGCTGGGATATGAACCAACGGCCCTAGTACTGCCAAGCGGAAGTGCTAACTATTTAACCACTGTGCTGCCCGATGATGGGACTTGTAGTACTTCAACAGCTGGAGGGCCATAGTTTGGACACCCCTGATATAAATCAGATTGATCGTTTAGGTAAACATTTGCACTGCATAGTTTTTGGTAAATTATAAAAAAAAAAAGTATATACAGTCAGGTCCATAAATATTGGGACATTGACTCAATTCTAACATTTTTAGCTCTATACACCACCACAATGGATTTGAAATGAAACAAACAAGATGTGCTTTAACTGCAGACTGTCAGCTTTAATTTGAGGGTATTTACATCCAAATCAGGTGAACGGTGTAGGAATTACAACAGTTTGCATATGTGCCTCCCACTTATTAAGGGACCAAAAGTAATGGGACAATTGGCTTCTCAGCTGTTCCATGGCCAGGTGTGTGTTATTTCCTCATTATCCCAATTACAATGAGAAGATAAAAGGTCCAGAGTTCATTTCAAGTGTGCTATTTGCATTTGGAATCTGTTGCTGTCAACTCTCAAGATGAGATCCAAAGAGCTGTCACTATCAGTAAAGCAAGCCATCATTAGGCTGAAAAAACAAAACAAACCCATCAGAGAGATAGCAAAAACATTAGGCATGGCCAAAACACCTGTTTGGAACATTCTTAAAAATAAGGAACGCATCGGTGAGCTCAGCAACACCAAAAGACCCGGAAGACCACGGAAAACAACTGTGGTGGATGACCGAAGAATTCTTTCCCTGGTGAAGAAAACACCCTTCACAACAGCTGGCCAGATCAAGAACACTCTCCAGGAGGTAGGTGTATGTGTGTCAAAGTCAACAATCAAGAGAAGACTTCACCAGAGTGAATACAGAGGGTTCACCACAAGATGGAAACCATTGGTGAGCCTCAAAAACAGGAAGGCCAGATTAGAGTTTGCCAAACGACATCTAAAAAAGCCTTCAAAGTTCTGGAACAACATCCTATGGACACTTGAGACCAAGATCAACTTGTACCAGAGTGATGGGAAGAGAGAGTATGGAGAAGGAAAGGAACTGCTCATGATCCTAAGCATACCACCTCATCAGTGAAGCATGGTGGTGGTAGTGTCATGGCGTGGGCATGTATGGCTGCCAATGGAACTGGTTCTCTTGTATTTATTGATGATGTGACTGCTGACAAAAGCGGCAGGATGAATTCTGAAGTGTTTCAGGCAATATTATCTGCTCATATTCAGCCAAATGCTTCAGAACTCATTGGACGCTGTTTCACAGTGCAGATGGACAATGACCCAAAGCATACTGCAAAAAGCAACCAAAGAGTTTTTTAAGGGAAAAAAGTGGAATGTTCTGCAATGGCCAAGTCAATCACCTGACCTGAATCCGATTGAGCATGCATTTCACTTGCTGAAGACAAAACTGAAGGGAAAATGCCCCAAGAACAAGCAGGAACTGAAGACAGTTGCAGTAGAGGCCTGGCAGAGCATCACCAGGGATGAAACCCAGCGTCTGGTGATGTCTATGCGTTCCAGACTTCAGGCTGTAATTCACTGCAAAGGATTTGCAACCAAGTATTAAAAAGTGAAAGTTTGATTTATAATTATTATTCTGTCCCATTACTTTTGGTTCCTTAATAAGTGGGAGGCACATATGCAAACTGTTGTAATTCCTACACCGTTCACCTGATTTGGATGTAAATACCCTCAAATTAAAGCTGACAGTCTGCAGTTAAAGCACATCTTATTTGTTTCATTTCAAATCCATTGTGGTGTGTATAGAGCCAAAAATGTTAGAATTGAGTCAATGTCCCAATATTTATGGACCTGACTGTATATAAGATGATTTAATATCAGAGCCACAGTGATCTGTTCAAATAGGACATCTGACATCTGAGACATTGGTAGATTCTTCCTCACTTCTTCTCTCTGAGATGACAAGAAATGGGTGTTGCCGGTGTCATCAGGACAAGAAGGCACCGACACCAATTAAAATATTATCAGTTCTACTTCTTCCCTACCATCTACTGTAAATGTTTCTCTGTTGAAAATATTTTACATCACTTGCATTCCTGAAAATTAGTGAGGGGAAATGACCCCATTAGTAACTAAGATGGCCATAAAACCTGGTAAAGAACCCTTCCCTGCTCATGCCAGCTGAAAACGTTTTGGCTGGGTTTAGTATAATGTAATGAGCAGTGGTATGTTCTTTTATCTACTATCCTTATATTTTTTGTGTGATCTGCCAATCTATAACTTATTTTTAATAAAGTAACCTCCCTTACATGTAAATTAAATTTTAGGCTTTCTAGTGACCTTTTTCCTTTTTTTTTTTTTTTTTTTTTTTTTTTTCCTTAATTTTTTTATTTAATTTCTGCAGGTATGAGTCAGGTGATCATGTTGCAGTTTATCCAGCAAATGACTCCTCTTTAGTCAACAAGCTGGGAGAGATTCTGAGCGCAGACCTTGACACTGTCATATCTTTGAACAATCTGGATGGTAAGTTCTTCCAAGCATTTGTGCATTTCAGGTAAACTTTGTCCCTGTCCTCATACAACTCGCTGTGTAAGCAGTAAAGCATGGTTAAACTCTCTGATAAATACAGTGTCATGGAATGTGCCCTGTTCTGACCTAAGTAGGGTACAGTTGGTTTTATGTTTTTAATGGTGAGTAGTAGTTGTACATTAAAATGAAAGTCGTGTTGACGTTCCAAGATCTTTACAGTTATACACAATCATTTAAAATGTGGTTCTTAATGTTATGAAAGATTCCTAATAGAGGGATTACCAGTAAGTCAAATTATTTGTATCACACATAAAAGATATAGGATATCATTGCCTGTTATGAATAGCTGACCATACCAGTCTTTTTGCAGAGGAATCCAACAAGAAGCATCCTTTCCCTTGTCCTACTACATACCGCACAGCGCTCACTTACTATCTGGATATCACCAATCCTCCCCGTACCAATGTTCTGTATGAACTTGCACAGTATGCCACAGATCAGAAAGAGCAGGAGAACCTACGGAAAATGGCTTCTTCTTCAGCGGAAGGCAAAGTAAGCTGCATGCTGAATGTAATGTGCTTAAAGCATAGCTGAACTCCTTTTTGAAAACAGTGTAAAAAAGTACAGATTGAAGTATATGTAAACCCATACACATTTTATTTTGTATTTAATTTTTACTTTTGGAAGGCGTTGTTACTTAACCTAGAGGCCTTTTCACTTCTTGGCCTAGGGGTTGCAACAGTCCCTGACTACATCTACACACCAGCAGTGTTGTCATTCAGCTGCCTGCATGTTCATACACTAAGCTAAAAGCAGGCATTGGTCCACATCATCAGTTGGTGATGTGCATCTGCATGTAGGACAATGGCTCATGAACAGGAAATAGCTGGGAGAAGTGTGCACAGGGTGGAATAAAGATTAACTTGATTAAAAAAAATGGGTTACTATTTAATTACTATTAATCCCATGAATTTTTTGCTTACAATTAATTGACTGCACTAAGACTGTGTCTACTATAATCTGTATCTGTATAATCTATAATGGTGTGGCAGGATATGGTACAACTACTTGGCAAGTTATGATTAGTAACTAGAAGTGTATGATCACTTTTATAGGCCAATTTTACCCACAACTGATATCCGTTATGAGTGGATGCTGCCGGGTCAGAGTTCTTTTCAGCTGTTAGGTGATTTTGGAACACCAGACCTATTAGTGTCTCATTTTAATTTTAGACTTACTAGCATAGTTGACCTTCCCATGCCCTATGATTGGTCCATGAAATTGTGATAATGGCTAATAGTGATATTAAACCTAATGCTGATTAAGTAAGCATGGCAGCGGGAAAAGGGGCCGATGCGGTCTTCTAAATATATACAGTGAGGAACAGAAGTATTTGAACACCCTGCGATTTTGCAAGTTCTCCCACTTAGAAATCATGGGAGGGGTCTGAAATTCACATTGTAGGTGCATTCCCACTCTGAGAGACAGAATAAAAAAAAAAAAAATTCAGGAAATCACATTGTATGATTTTTAAAGAATTTATTTGTCTTGCACTGCTGAGCATAAGTATTTGAACACCTGAGAAAATCAGTGTCAATATTTGGTACAGAAGCTTTTGTTTGCAATTACAGAGGTCAAATGTTTCCTGTAGTTCTTGACCAGGTTTGCACACACTGCAACAGGGATTTTGGCCCACTCCTCTACACAGATCTCCTCTAGATCTGTCAGGTTTCGGGGCTGACACTGAGCAACATGGAGTTTCAGCTCCCTCCAAAGATGTTCTATTGGATTTAGGTCTGGAGACCGGCTAAGCCACTCCAGAACCTTGATATGCTTCTTACGGAGCCACTCCTGGCTGTGTGCTTCGGGTTGTTGTCATGTTGGAAGACCTAGCCACGACCCATCTTCAATGCTCTGACTGAGGGAAGGAGGTTGTTGGTCAAAATCGCACAATAAATGGCCCCATTCATCCTCTCCTTAATACAGTGCAGTCGTCCTGTCCCCTTTGCAGAAAAGCACCCCAAAGCATGATGTTACCACCCCCATGCTTCACAGTAGGGATGGTGTTCTTGGGATGCAACTCCTCCTTCTTTTTCCTCCAAACACGACGAGTGAAGTTTAGACCAAAAAGTTCTACTTTGGTCTCATCTGACCACATGACTTTCTCCCATGCCTCCTCTGGATCATCCAGATGGTCATTGGCAAACTTCAGACGCTCCTGGACATGTGATGACTTGAGCAGGGGAACCTTCCGTGCAATGCATGATTTGAAACCATAACGGCGTAGTGTTCTGTTGACAGTGACCTTTGAAACTGTGGTCCCAGCTTTCTTCATGTCATTGACCAGCTCCTCCCTTGTAGTTCTGGGCTGATTCCTCACCTTTCTTATCATTAGTGATACCCCATGAGGTGAGATCTTGCATGGAGCCCCAGTCCGAGGGAGACTGACAGTCGTCTTTAGCTTCTTCCATTTTCTAACAATTGCTCCAACAGTTGATCTATTTTCACCAAGCTGCTTGGCAATTGCCCCGTAGCCCTTTCCAGCCTTGTGGAGGTGCACAATTTTGTCTCTGGTGTCTTTTGACAGCTCTTTGGTCTTGCCCATGGTAGTAGTTGGCGTCTGACTGACTGCTGGGTGGACAGGTGTCTTTAAAGAGCTCAGACAGGTGCTACTAAGTTAGATTAATGAGTGGAGTAGAGATGGACTTTTTAAAGGCACAGTAACAGGTCTTTGAGAGCCAGAATTCTTGCTGTTTCGTAGGTGTTCAAATACTTATGTTCAGCAGTGCAAGACAAATAAATTCTTTAAAAACCATTTTTTTTTTTTTAAATTCTGTCTCTCAGAGTGGGAATGCACCTACAATGTGAATTTCAGACCCCTCCCATGATTTCTAAGTGGGAGAACTTGCAAAATCGCAGGGTGTTCAAATACTTCTGTTCCTCACTGTATGCCGTTACTGGTGATTTAACACACTGGCCTGTTTTACTTTTGCTGTGAACCATAGTAAAGAACAGTATTTTATTGCTTCTTTAAAAGAGAAATTTGGGTTTATTAAATAACAAATAATCATACTCTCCTAGATTGCTGCAGCATGGATCTGAGCTGCATCTGTCCCCTGCCAGATCTACACCGAGAACTGTGCGATCAAAGACCTCAAACTGCTCAGTTCTCGGTCTTCAGTGAGCAGATAGCCAGTGACTGACTGTTTACTTTTAAAGCCTTTCTATACCAGATATGAGACCGTACACAGTGATGACATTTGTTGAATACTTTATTATGAAATCGCTTTACTATTAAATGTCTTTCAAATTTACATAGGCTTTGTATCTCAACTGGGTTTTAGAAGCAAGGAGGAATATTTTGGCTATTCTGGAAGATATGCCTTCACTACGACCACCACTTGACCACCTTTGTGAGTTGGTGCCCCGTTTACAGGCTCGTTACTATTCAATTGCCTCTTCTTCAAAGGTGAGTTTTAACAATACCATATGTACTCTACATATCCTACTTCAAACAAAGAACAATGGCAATTTTTCCAGTATCAAGCAATTATGTTTCCTATGTTTCCTATTGGTTTAAATAGACCCTGTCACCAACTTTATCAATTTTTAACTTTAACAATTATGAGCAAAAGCACAAAAATCAAGTAAATGAAATGCTTACTTGCAGTGTTTTTCCTTTCCATAAATTATTTTTTTAGTTTTTACAGTACAGGTTACAGGATCTTTATTTTTTACTATTGGCTATTGGTTACCTTCACTTGCTTGGAAACTGGCAGAAAAAGCTCCCAGGATGTCAACTAAAACCCCTCCCCCCCCCCCCCCCCCCCCCCCGCCCCCCCCCCCCCCCTCCCCCCCCCAACCCCCCCCCCCCGCTTTCAAATTTTGCCTGTTTCCATGCTAAAATCGGTGAATCTCACTGCTGCCATTGAGCAGCTTCTGTGTGTGTGTGGAAACCCAAAAGAGTCACTTCATTTGTGTCTGCATAAGGGTCTTTGGTCTATTGGTTATCTCCTTCAAGGCTGTACCATATCAACTTCACTCTGGCAGCATTGGACGAACAGACTTTGTCCTTGGACTGCACCATTTGTTTGTTCCACAAGGCCAGATTTCCATGAAACAGCACATTTTCAACCTGGCGCTGGATTCAGGGATGCCCTTTCATCTAAGACATGGAACGTTTTCACCAAAAACACCACAAATGCCAGTCTGTTGGGCTGGAAAGAAGTCCTAGGTGCCTTCTCAGTACAGGATCATTGCAGAAAAAGCCTGTGTTTCCATCAACATCCTGGAACTCCAAGCCTAATTTCTGGAATTGCGACGGCACCTGATGAGAATTAATTAGGATAATGCTTGGGCCATGGCCTACATTTAACCGTCAAGGAGCCATCAGAAGTCTCGCCTTGCAAAAGGAAGCGGATTTGATCCACTCTTGGGCAGAGTTGCATGTTCCGTCCCTGTCCGCATCCCATATGTTGAGACTTGGCGGGCAGACTTTCTTAGTCTTTGGCATCAATAGAATGGGCTTTCTATCTGGAGGTATATTAAGCTCTTTGCCACAGGTAGGGATTCCGGATGTTAATCTCCTGGCATCCAGATGGAACCTCAAACTGGACAGACTAGTTGCCAAGCTTTTTTCTGATTTTGTTACAGGCTGCTCTAAGTTTAATTGAGCTCTTCTTAAAATGTTGTTACATGGGCCTGTTGGCATTGTTTGCTGTTTTACCCAAGCTGTACTACTTTTGGATGTTCTTTAGTGATGACTAAGGTGTCCTGGATTGTATGACAATAGGATTTTTGACTTGCTTGTAAAATTTATTTCCTGGAGTTCACTATGGCAGCCTTTCTCAACCAGGGTGCCTTGAGGCTTCTTCAAAGGTGCCTTGGCAAAATGTCTAAAAATTGACCAAAACTTGTATACAATCCAGTGGGTGGAACAAGCCTGCCTTTTAGTTACACAAAGCCAGAAGTTTTCATTGTGCACCATTACAACCTTCTAGCTGGCAGCCTGACAACCAATGACATCATAAGTTGATAAGGAGGATATCATCTGCCTGCATAGCATCCTGGTTTGACCCTCCGGTGCCCTTTCCGTCAGTGCTGGGGTCACATTAGCTCAGTGATGGAGAAAAGAAAGGGAGAAGAAAAGAGGGAGAAGAGAAACATTGGAATACTAGTCAGTACCAGTGTGCAAAAGTGTATTTTCTTTGGAAGAATAAACCACCTCTAATGTTGGGTGTCCTACATGTGTGGATGTTGCTGCGTTTTATATAAAACTATTTAAAATAGGTTTTCACATTTTAGAATGGGGTGCCCTAATAAAATTATGGACAGTCTAGAGCAGGGGTGTCAAACTGGCGGCCCTCCCACTGTTGTGAAACTACAAGTCCCATCATGCCTCTGCCTTTGGGAGTCATGCTTGTAATTGTCAATCTTGCAATGCCTCATGGGACTTGTAGTTTGGCAACAGCTGGAGGGCCACCAGTTTGACACCTGTGGTCTAGAGGCACCCCATTTTAGAATGGGGTGCCTCGGGACTGTCCATAATTTTAAAAGGTTGAGAAACACTGCACTATGGAACAAAGGGTGGAGATTTATGAAAAATGGTACACTCTGAACTGGTGCAGCTGTGCATGGTAGCCAGTCAGCTTCTTCAGTACAATCTGAAACCAGATTTTGCACTCTCCAGTCTTAGTAAATTTCACCCATTGCATCTTCCCGCTTTCTTTTGATCTCTCTATTACTTGCTACAAAACTAAGTCTGGTCATACAGCATTCAGTTTTTTTTTGTTCCCCCATGGACACATTCATTGTGGATAGGGAAATCCTCCCTGCTGTGTCTTTGTATTCTGTCAGCAGGATTCCCCTGCCATCAGAATACACTGATCACTCTGCATGCATTGATCAAAGGTTCCTCCAAACTGTGTCCAAGCGTCTGAGTGTAGCTGCAGATATAAGCTGACCACTCATACAAAATCAATTCCCTAGTACAGCCCTTCTGTTCTTTCTTGTCATAGCCCACTTCCCTTCTGGGGATATCTAATCACTCTCTGTGCTGGTTCAGAATCTCTGCACATATGTTAAGGGAAGATTTTTGTTGATATGAATGGTGATGACACTGTCACTTTAAGAATGACTGACTGTGCATGCATGTTTTTGTTTTTTTTTTCTCTTGCAATGTCAACAATATTTATGCAATGGTAAATGTACGTTTACCAATGGCAGATTATCAGCAGCCACTGTGTTAAAAGCTTAAAAGTGGTTTGCTATTACGTTTCTCAGTATTTTATAGTGCTTTTCAGATGTTGAATTGCATGAAGTTTTCAGGAAAGCATGTAACTTTTCATGTTAGTAGTAGCATTGTTTATATGGCTTACTATTCATTTTCCTTATTTAATTTCTTTGTCCTGTGTCCTCAGGTTCACCCCAACTCCATACATATCTGTTCAGTGCTTGTAGAGTATGAAACCAAGACTGGACGAACAAACAAAGGAGTGGCCACCAGCTGGCTTAAAAACAAGCAACCATGTGACAATGGCCATAAATCAACAGTACCCATGTATGTCCGCAAGTCACAATTCAGACTGCCTTTTAAACCCAGTACACCTGTAATCATGATTGGGCCTGGCACTGGCATTGCTCCATTTGTAGGATTCATACAGGAAAGAGAATGGTTGAAGCAGCAAGGTAGGTTGACTGAGAAATACAGCTGCAATGAAGGGTTCTAACAATGTATACTGCTTGCTTTTCCTTTTTTTTTTTTTTTTTTTAAATTGCATGCAAATTGTGACTATGAACTTTACTTATTTGCTTCCTTTTGGTCTTTTAAATAAACTATTGAAAGGGTTTTGTTATATCTGTTTAATAGGTACAAAAAAGAGCTGTTCTGTGCACACATTTTGTGTTTGCTTAAAAGGATTGTAAAGTCTTTATTTTTTCCGAAATCACAAACATGTATAGACTCCCTCAAGAGTTGGTTCTGGCCAGCTCAGTGGATTACTTCAAAAAAGGCCTGGATACTTTTAGAAGCACAGAATATAACTGGATACTAACATTTATAGGTAAAGTTGATCCAGGGAATATCTGATTGCCTCTCGGGGGATCAGGAAGGAATTTGTTTCCCAGCAGGAGCAAATTGGATCATGCTTTGCTGGGTTTTTTGCCTTCCTCTGGATCAACTGTGGGCTTATAACTTTTTTTTTTCTTTTTGTGGTTGCACTGGATGGAATTTTGTCTTTTTTCAGCCAGACTAACTATGTAACATGTTATACTTACCTGCTCTGTGTACAGAGTGGCCCTGAATCTCCTTTTCTTCTCAGATCTGTTGGGGCTCCTGTCTCTTCCTCTTTTGCGAATGCCCCCATAGCACGCCTCTTGCTATGGGGGCACTCTTACAAGCTTGATCCTGAATTGCCCTGCCTTTGTCCATAGACCAAGACAGTGCAGCTTGGCCCCCATCGCCCATTCCCTCATCACAGGATTTGACTGACCGCAGCAGGAGCCAATGGCTGCCTCTGTCTCAGCAAAACCTGTGAGAGTGGGGAAAGGGGAGAGAACTGCTACAGATGGGCAGAGCACTAGATTGAGTGAGGTAAGTATAAGGTGGGGGTAAAGGGGGCAATACTGCTACATATTTTTTTTTTTTTTTTTTCATTAATGCAAAAGGTAAAACATGTTTTATTCTTTAGAACCAATTTAGGGAGTCAAATTGGCTCTCCTAATTCTTATCTACAGAATAATTTGTCCCTGTGTACCATGGGCTGCAGAAAAGAAAATTGCTCAATTCCCCATCAACATAGTCAGTGTGTTTTTTTTTTTTTTTTTTTTTTTTTTGTGGGTACAACTTTTAAAAATTTTATTATATAAAATGTTCTTAAAGCAAACCTTCACTCTCCTGATATAACCTCCCTAAACTCCCACCCACCTCCACAATCTAAATCACTATGTATTTTTTTTTTAACTTTGTTTACCTTTTTTTTTTTTTTTTTTTTTTTTTTTTTTTTTTTTTTGCCCGTGACCCCTGCCACTGTTCTTCCCCAAACATGAATGAAGTGTCCAAGCTCCCACAGCCTCCTGGGTTATCCCTGCCACATATGGCAGGAGGCTGCAGGAGTAGAACACACAGTGGCTGGAGGGTGTAGCTGGTGCACATCATTGTGGGCTGGCCTCCTGAACCCAGAAAAAGCAGTTGGCCCACAATAACCAAGGAGTACCAAAATAGTGGTGTAGAACTTGGGTGGTCACAACTGAGCTGCGGATTGCAGCAGAAAAGTGCTGGATCCGATCCACTGGGTAGTTGAAATCAGGACAATGCTACATAACAGGTAAAGGGGACTTAAACAAAGTAGTGGGGAGTGAAGCTCCTCTTTAAAAGCTAGAAGGATAGCTAAATCTTTTTTGTATACTGAATACTGAATGCTTGTCAAAGTATTTTCCAATGCATTTTTTTTTTTAATTTAAATATTTATTAAATAGTCAGTGTTGATGGGGGAATCCCTCCCGTGGAGCCATTGTGTTTTCCGGGCAGGGGGGAGCCATCCCCACCAGGAGAACACAGTGATTACTGCTAGGGGCTATAATAGCCGCTAGCAATAATCGCAGTTAAAATCCGACAGGCTGGTTCGATCAACTTGGGAATATTTAGCCTGTCATACACGGTTCAAATCTCGGTTGGTCCCTGCTGAACCTGCAAAGATTCAAACTGTCTGTGCCCAGCTTAATTTTGTTTATCATTTTTATTTTTAAGTTTATCCTTTAAGGTCATTATTTGTAATAGACACACATCAAGACAACATCAGTAGGAAGAATACTGTTCTGTACATACAAGAGATCTATGGAAGGGGTCACTGCTCTATCAATGTACAATGGGGTGTGCAGAAGATTTTAGCTTTTTAGCTAAAAGCAAATCTGTCATGCAACAGAACATGAGTGTAATTAGTCTCTTATTACAAACCAGCTCAAGGACTTCATTGCCTGCAGCTAGAATGCCGCATATGCTTAAGGTGGCCATACATGGATCGAAATTCAGCTGGCTCAGCAGGAACTGACACGATTTTGATCCACATATACCATAGATTGTACGCTCCTTCAGGGTTAGGGACTGATGTGAATGTACAAAATATATATAAAATCAGGTAAAATAGATACACTACACCATTTTTCTCAAATGTATTTCTAGAGGTGCTATTGAAATGAAATTTTCACCACATGTCTGTAACAAACCATGCAGTCAATACATACAAAGAAACCAAAACAAATAAGTTCAGAATTTAAGTTATGCATAATAAAATGGAATGACACAAGGAAAAAGTATTGAACACGTTAACTGAAATTTATTTCATACTTCGTACAAAATCCTTTGTTTGTAATAACAGCTTCAAGACTCCTACTGTATAGAGAAACTAGTCACATGTATAGCTCAGGTGAGATTTTGGCCCATTCTTCCACACAGTGTTCAAATCTTGAAGGTTCCATGGGCCTTCTATGAACTCTGATCTTTTAGTTCTTTCCATAGATTTTCTATTGGATTTAAGTCCGGTGACTGGCTGGGCCATTCTAGTAGCTTTTATTTTTTTCTTTGAAACCAATTGAGCGTTTCCTTTGCGTTTTGGGATCATTGTCTTGCTGGAATGTCCACCCTTGTTTTATCTTCATCATCCATACATTTTTGCATTCATCCTTCCTTCAATAACATGAAGTTTGCCAGTACCGAATGCTGAAAAACAGCCCCACACCACTATGTTACCACCTCCAAATTTCACTGTTGGTATGATGTTTTTACAGTGAGGTGCCGTGCCATTTGACCTCCAAACATGGTGTGTATTATGGCATCCAAAGAGCTCAATTTTGGTCTCATCTGACCAGACTATACTCTCCCAGTATTTCACAGGGCTTGTCTAAATGTTGTGCAGCAAACTTTAACCAAGCTTCAAAATGCTTTTCCTTCAGCTATGGAGTCTTGCGCGGTGAGCTTGCATACAGGCCATGGTGGTTGAGTGTACTACTTGTTTTCTTTAAAACAATTGTACCTGCTAATTCCAGGTCTTTCTGAAGCTCTCCACATGTGGCTCTTGGACAACCTTCTGATTATTTCTTTTCACTCCTGTCTGAAATCTTGCAAAGAGCACCAGGTCATAGCAGTTTATGGTGAAATTATGTTCTTTCCACCTCCGGATTATGGCCCTGACAGTGCTCACTGGCACATTCAGAAGTTTAGAAATCCTTCTGTAAGCAATGCCATCAGTATGTTTTGCAACAATAAGGTTGTGAAGGTCTTGAGAGAGCTCTTTGCTTTTATCCATCATGAGTTTTCTTGTGTGACCCCTTGGTAACGAGACACATTTTTATAGACCATCAGTTGAGACTGAACCAGCTGATATTATTTTGCACTGACAAAGGGCAGGATTGCTTTTTAATTACTGATAAATTTCAGCTGGTGTCTTGGCTTTCTATGCCTTTTTACACCTCCCTTTCTTCATGTGTTCAATACTATTTTCCCTGGGTCATTCCATTTTATTACACTACTTAATTTCTGAACTTATTTGTTTTGGTTTCTTTGTATGTATGGGTTGTTACCAACGTGTTTAAAATTTCATGTCAATAGTACCTATAGAAATATATTTACTTAGAAAAATGGTGATGTCTTCAATACGTATTTTATCCCCTGTGTAAAAATAAGTGTGTGTGTACCTGTAATAAATGTATGACCACTGTGGTCGTACTACTGATCGACTTTTGTTCAACTGTCTTGCTATACCATAGTGTAGGTGAAGTGAGGTAATATTATTAATAAAGTATTGAGTAGGAATGTAGCCAAGATGTACCATCCCTTAAAGACTTTACTGACTTAATTTGCTTATTTAGGAAAGGAGGTTGGAGAGACTGTTCTATACTATGGCTGCCGACATGAACATGAAGACTATCTGTACAAAGAAGAACTTGCCAGATTTCACAAAGATGGTGTTCTTACTCAGCTGAATGTTGCTTTCTCTCGAGATCAGAAAGAAAAGGTATGAAAACAAAAATCAATAAGATAACTTTTTTGATGGACCAGATTTTTAAAGGGGCTGCTTTTCTAAAGCTGGAGAGTGCAAAATCTGGTGCAGCTGTGCATAGAAACCAATCAGCTTCTATTTTATTTTTTGTCTAAGCTTAATTGAACAAGCTGAAGTTAGAAGCTGATGAATTTTGCACTCTCCAGTTTTAGTAAATCAATCCCAAAGTGTGTTAATGGAAAACACTACATTCATTGAAGTCCTATTTGTTCATCATAGCTTTGGGACGTAACTGAATGTAATAAATTGGTGCTGGTAGGTGGTATACTGTTTGGACAATAAAATGGTATGTATCCATTCTACTGGTTTTCATTTGATATATGCTTTTAAAGTTGAAGTTACTGTACATCAGTCTGTTATGGTATATTTTTCTTTTCAGCAAATGGAACACTCCATTTGGCAAAGCAACATACCTATGTCAGCCAGCAATATATCTCTATAGTACATTACAACATTGTTTCGTTATAAATGTTGCTTTATGCATTGATATGCTTCCTTAGACCCAGTAAGTCTAGACAGTATGGTCACTTGCCAGAGTTCGATTGAGCTGTGCCCCCCCAGTTGGTCTGCATTCACACTGAATTATAAGGAAGTGCTCCCAGGCACACTTACATCATCACCTCTGTTAACCAGATCAGTGATCCCGGCTTCTGTGCAGTCCTTTATGGAGAGTTCTGTTCTCTGACATGGTTTGCTCTTAGGCTACGTTCACACTAGCCTTGTTTTCAAGCTGTAGAAAGGCGTTTGGGAAGTGTTTTTACCGTTTTCCCAAACGCCTCGGACAATTGTGCCCATTGCAGCACATGGTGCTGTTCTAACGGGAGCGGGGTTGTAGGGTTTAGCGTCGCGGCGCTGCAAAATGGACGCCTCTGGTCGAGTCAGGAGGCGTTTGCGTTGCGGTTGCGATTCGGTTGCAGGGTGTTTGTGGAGCGGTAACACCATCCAAACTTCATTATAGGCGTTTTTAACGCTCTGCAAACGCCTAGCAACCGCCGCTGAACCGCGCATGCGGTGCATTAAAAAACGCTTCGCAAACGCCGGACCAACGCTTGCCAAACGCTATAGGGGCGTTTGGCAAGAGTTGGTAAAACAGTTAAAGTGTGAACGAGCCCTTACACTGAAGCAAACTGTGTACCAGACAAGTGAACTGTACCCAGGACTACATCTTCCAAGTGGTCCTATGCACTGTACAGTTAACTGATCCCAGGAGTGGTTTGGAGCACCTGCACTACACAAAAAAAAAAAACAGATGAAGGAGGTGAACTCTGCCTGGGGCCAGTTATAAATGCCAATATGAGTGCCTTATTTTCCTGAGCCCTGTCTCTGTGAATAACGCTTACTGAAGGAGCATGGAAGATGTGGGAAATGTCTAGCTAGGAATAAACTCACTAGCACTAAACAGGAGGGGTGAACAGATGGAGAAACCAATATTAAATTAGTAAACAATTAGTAATAAGCAATGGCCTAAAACCACCACTAGATGGCAGCATACTACATCGTGATGCCTTCATGCAGTTGAATACAAGACATAAAAATTACATGAAAGTGGGGAAAAGCAAACACTATAGCAATAAGGTGTGTGTGTGTGTGTGGGGGGGGGGGGGGGTGTATATGGGTGAGTGTGTGTGGTCAGAATATGTGTACATATATTCCTTTTTTTGGTACCAAAAGAGCTTTACTTAAAAGATTAAGGAGACGAGAAGTCTTCAGCAATACATAACAAACCATGTCCAGGGAAACCGTATACAGTTTCATAGCGGCAATATTGACCTGCTCAGGGATCTGCTTAACAGAGCAATCACAGTGCTTGGTATTTAGAAATATATTTTAGAACATAGCGATCACATGACAAATGATATAAGTAAGCCTGGTAATCTTCATCAGTTGTTTACGGAAAGGTCCTATAACCTGATAACAGAGGTAACCCCATAGTATCCCAATGTTTGCTCACCCCAAAAAAGGGGGGGAAGAGACAACTCCGTAGTCCTATACAAAAATGTAGGGAAATGGAAGAACATGGGTTCTGGCAATTCCAAGCACTAGGCCACAAAGGCCATAGCAAAAGACAATCAAAAGAAAACAAATAAATTAGTAAAAGGAAAATGAGGGAAGACCGGAAAGAAGGAAATATCTCCGTCCTGAAGAGAAAAGTGAAACCGAAATGGGGGGGGGAAAGGTTTTTTGGCTTTTTTTTTTTTTTTTTTTTTTAGTTTTTTGCGTTGTTTTTTTTTTTGTTTTGTCAACTGTGTTTGTGTCTTACTGCAAGTAAGGCTATTTATACTTCTCTTGTGTCTAAAGGATTGGTGTATAGGTCCCATCTAGAATGTAATTTTGGATTTGTGGCATTAAACTTTAATTCATGTTTTACAGATCTATGTCCAGCACATTCTTAAGAAAAATGAGGAACATGTATGGAAGCTGATAAATGAAGAGAATGCTCATATCTATATATGTGGGTGAGTAACCTCAGATCGATCTAGAGTCCTAGAAACTTCAGAATTTATTTGGACTTTGAACTGTTGCAGTGATTATTACATGTTTTAGCTGAAGTGGTGATGAAACTGCTGTAGAGCATCTAGCAGGGAAACCTGGTTTCTTGGCTTCATACTTGAGCAATATCACACTGACAATTGCAATTCACTTGGTAGCAACTGTTTAAACGCTTTCTTGTCGTCCTATAGCAGAAATGCTGTGACAGGGCTGCGCAAAATCACATGTGTATATATGTGATTTTGCATTTCCGGGTTGGGCAGTGATTCCCCGCTGCCACCCTGCGATCGCCGAGTATCACTGATGGGGGAGAGACCTGTATGTAAACAATACAGATCTCTCCCCTGTCCGCTCCTGCACATTACTTTGTATTGCTCTGCATAGCAATTTGCATCAAATGTGTCCAAAACGCATTGCAAAACAGGCAAAATGCAAACTGCATTGATGTGAACCACGATTGAAATGCATTGGAAACCCATCAAAATGCACACGTATGGCTTTTTGATGCGTTTTGAGCCACATGTCCTATGAAATACACACACTAAATGTGGTAAAATCGGGTTTTCGGCCATTATCGGCACCTTTTATTTTTTCTATCAGCAAACCGATTGATTTTGGATGCCGATATATTGGTGCATCCCTATCTACACTTTTTGTGTGATCACTGTGCAAAAAATATGCTGCATGGAGACTATAGCAGGGCATTTGTATTGTACAAACATCCATAGGCTGCTACATTCATATAGGATGAGGGTGGTCATTGATATTACGGAGGCACAACTAGTTTTCCTTCCAAGTCAGAGGTATAGTTGTACACCTGTAACTGCTCTGCTTACTCTAATTTGGTGACCAGTTGTAACCATGGGTCTTGGTGTTTAGCAACTATTTTAAAGGCCTCATTTACATTTTAGTGTTGGCTGCACAAGACTCCAGTGTATTTCTGCATCTGGTTTCACAGGTAGATGTAGATAGTTGCAATCACTCGGCCTGTACAGGTCAAGGACAGACTGTTAGTGGTCACACCTGTTCATGGGTGTTTTTCATGTCATTGTACATGGAGCGAATACTAGGATTGGGGACAGCACGCCCCTGGACATGTGCTGTTTGTATCCAGTCCAGGGGCAATCATCTGTCCCTAACGGCAGGTAATCATGTGCTATTACATGTGAACATCAATGTTGTAGCTTCTTTTCAGCCTGTAATTGCTTTGTACAGGCTCAGAGGCCATAAATATTTGAATCTGTGTGTATCCAACCGTAGAAATACACTGGATTCTTGCTGCAGCCAGCACTAAATGTCTGTGTGAATGAATTCCAAAGCCTAGTACACGCGATTAGAATATCAGATGAAAAATACCATTTTCGGAGTGATCATCTGCTAATCTGATTGTAGGTAACACAGCTTTTGAGAGTTGATCAGGACTATTCATGCTAAATTATCCAAAGGAACAAGCAAGAAACTTTTTCTTGTGCAATACCAGAACGAATGATTTAAGTTTAATCAGAACAGTATTCATCCGTGAAATAATCGAGTGACCTAGATCAGTGTTTCTTAACCTTTTTTCAGTCAAGGCACCCTTTTAAAATTATGGACCGTATTGAGGCACCCCATTCTAAAATGTGAAAAATGATTCTAATAGTTTTATATAACGCAGCAACATCCACACATGTAGGACACCCAACATTAGAGGTGATTTATTCTTCCAAAGCAAATACACCTTTGCACACTGGTACTGACTAGTATTCCAATGTTTCTCTTCTCCCTCACTTTTCTCCATCACTGAGCTAATGTGACCCCATTACTGATGGAGAGGGGCAGGGGAGGGTCAAACTAGGATGTTGTGCAGGCAGCTCACATCTTCTTTATCAACTGATGATGTCATTGGTTGTCAGGACACTAGCGGGTAGAAGGTTGTAATGGTGCACAATGAAAACCTGTGGCTTTGTGTAACTAAAAGGTGGGCTTGTTCCACCCGCTGGCTTGTATACTAATTTTGGGCAATTTTTAGACATTTTGCCAAGGTGCTCCTGAAGAAACCTCAAGGCACCCTGGTTGAGAAAGGCTGACCTAGACCACACATGCTTAGAAGCAGAAGAATACATTACAACACTTCTGAAGTTGTATTCTGTCTTATGAGAATTTTCCATAACTTTGGTAACTTGTTAAAGTGATTCTAAAGGCTTACATTTAAAAAAAAAAACCAAAAAAAAAAATGTCTATGCTTACTGGCGGTGTGCAGTGGTTTTGCCCAAAACAGCCTGGATCCTCCTCTTCTCAGGTCCCCCGCCAGTGCTCATGGCTCCTCCCTCCTGTCTAGTGCCCCCACAGCAAGCAGCTTGCTATAGGGGCACCCACTGCTTCATGTGTGTTCATTCACACATGCAGCCATGGCTTGGCTCCACCCCCTCTCTCTTCTCATTGGTTCACTGGCTGTGATCGACCGCAGTGGGAGCCAGTGGCTCCTGCTGCTTTCTCAACCAATGAGGAGAGGGAGTCCTGGATAGCCGAAACTCCAGTGCACATCGCTGGATCGATATGGGGCTTAGGTGATTACTAGGGGGCCTGGGGGGGGATGCTGCACAGAGGTTTTTTACCTTCATGCATAGAATACATGAAGGTAAAAAACCTTGAGCCTATAGAACCACTTTAATTTTTAATATGAGACTAGCATGCAAAAAAAAAAAAAAGATAATCATTACATACAAGAGTCCCACAAAAGAGAAGAAGCATGTAATATTCTGTGAAATGTTTGTTGGCTGAAATACAAGTGCTAAAAATGAAGGTCCTGGCTTTTAACCAGATTAGTGCACGATTGTTTGTATTACTTAATGACTTTTTTTTTTTTCATGTGACTTTAAAATGAGTGATTTATGGTGATTTTTTTATTGAGCATCTCCTATACATCCAGTTTAAAATTGTGTGATAGCTTTCAATGAAAAAACAAGATATTTGGGACAACATTTAATGATTTTCTTTTCCATCTGCAGTGATGCCCGTTATATGGCGCGTGATGTACAGAATACTTTCTATGACATTGTAGAGAAATTTGGTAAGATGGATCATGCTCTGGCGGTAGATTACATCAAGAAACTAATGACCAAGGGCCGCTATTCTCAAGATGTTTGGAGTTAATACAGGCAAAGCGTGTCCTTTTTAGAGGTGGCATTCAGCTGCTGTCGGAGGTCCAACATGAGCCGGTTCATGAACAGATTTACAGATAACGCATGTCTTTTAGCACCAGTTCTGAAGAGCCACAGCTGCCTTGTTTTAGTACTGTTCTGAATGTATTGTATTCAGTTTATGTTTTGAACTGTACCTGTCAGCACAGCAGCTTCTATGTTTTCACATTTTTAATGGTCATTGATGCAAAAAAAAGGACTTTTATTCTAGTAGCATTTGCTTTCCAAGGATCTGCTGGTATTCTATTCAAAACATTTTTGGCTTCTTGTTTTTTTTTTTTTTTCCTTTGGGGTAATGCAATATCAGTTCATGTATAGAAGAACCAGAATCTTGAAACCCATTATCCAGTTCATCATCATTTTTTTCTTCAATAGATCATGTAACCCTTAAACATTTTGAATGCATGTGGACTTGTTCTGAGAGAATCAAAATTCTTAGATATTCAGAGATCATATAAATAAAATTGTACAATTTTTAGCCAATTGTAATATTGTAGGGGCAGTTTGTCTAGGCATAAAGTACTTTGGAGCCTGCTTGCTGGTTTACTTAAGGTAGTGGGTTACTGTGGATCATAGGTTAGCGCGAATATATTTGCTTCTTTTTATCTCTCGCTTTCCTTTCAAAACTTCTCGCCATAAAATTGTCCATGAAATGGTGCTATTGTTTGCGCCTCCTATGCACAGTTGGGTTTTGTTTGTATTTCATTTCCATTCTTTTGTTAATATTTCTGTCACTTCTGTTCTTGACTTGATTTTTTTTTTGTTTTGCAAAATATGGCCCATTAAGTCAACAATTATTGTAGTTCTGTGTATCAAAGCTTTCTGGCTGTGGAAGGACGGCATGGATAAAAGTACCATTGATTGTAAAATGCCCCCACCTCTTTGTTTTTGCTTGTTTGCCAAGCAAAGACTGTTATTATAACATAGTCTGAACCCCCTACTGCTACAAAGAGATGTTCAGATGTGTATAGAGCAATGTTCTCTAAATGGAACTTTAATATTTACATAGACAAGACACGTTGGTATATGTTTTCTATCTTCCACAAGCTATTACTTTGCTGTGGAAGCACTCCTCGCTGTCCTATGCTCCCACAATCAGTCATAGACTTGCCTACCTGGTGTCTGTCTTGCATTGGAACCAAGATAATCCCTTGTTTAAATGAGCTTTGTACCCCAACACCTAAGACCTTATTTATTCTTTGATTAGGTAAATGAATTTAATCTGCTTATACGCTAGAATAATTTGGGATACTCATGGTGTCCAGTATGTGATTCAAGGGATTTTTTCCCCCCTTAGACTTGCCTGTTAAAAATGGTTTGTCCTGGGAGTAGTGTGTTAGCAGTTACTTGAAGAAACGGTTATGATAACCCCAGCGTACAGAATGAAGCCGCTGGAATGGATTCCGATTAGGAGGAAGCTATGTACCTTGTGTAAGAACAACACAGTAGATGACCATTCTGTACCCCACTGTAGGTTCTCCTATAACCACTTGGAGCACAAGCCAAGATCTTTGGTTCAGAGCTGCTGTTTATTCTGAACTGATGACCTTGGCTGTGGACAGCAAAGCAAATTTATCGCATTTGCATGCTTCAGGGTTACAGAATGTCTTTTGTTTTCTTGCTGCAGTTCCTATTGCCCATCAATGTTCTGTACTAACATTTTTAACATTTTCCAGCTACTGCATCCTACAAACTAAATTCAGTTTTTTTATGCTTCTAGTCAGATTGAAATTTTATGAAAATATTGTTACAAATTATGATTGTAAATAATTTTAAATACATATTAACCTTTGAAATAAAGTATACGTTTTCCATTCCTTCAGTGTCTTGTCCATTTTATACAAAAATCCAATATGGTCTTTAAAAAAAAAAAACTTGGTTGTAAACCCTTCCAGTTACCAGTGGACATGACTGACCTCAGGTGATACGCAGAGATTAAACAAATCCTCCTACATAAGTTGTACCTGTTTATCTACAGTCTTCTCTTCTCTACAGCTGTTCAAAGTCCAGAATGTTATATAGCCTGTCTGAGCTGTCAGAAAAAGGGGGTGGAGAGCTGAAATTGCACTCTGCAGAGTTCAGTGAGAGGTCTGAGAGCTGATTGAAGGGAAGAGACACCCCCCCCCCCCCCCCCCACACACACACAGGAACAGAGCTGAGGCTGTCAATTTGCTAGAGGTCCCTCTCCCGCTTTTTTTTTTTTTTTTTTTTTTCCATGTCATCTATGGGCAGTTGGAACAGTTAGAGAAATCACAGAAAAAGAACATACAAGGACAACTACCAAAATCAGGGCCACAGATCAAACACACACTAGATTGTCATGCAGTGCCGTACCATCAGAGTATACAATATGCTGACTATGTGCTTACTTGTGCAATCATGTCACACAATGTTATTAATAGCATTGAACCTTATAGACAAGCTGAAAAAAAAATAAAGACAAAAACCACTTAACCCGCGGTCTCTGTGCTGATACGCGTCACTCGGCAAAATCCTCAACCCACTAACCCACTGGTAACCTGAGGCAGAAAATAGGAGGTGAGGGAAATTTAAAGTACAGATGACAGCACAACCAGAAAAGTGAGGAAATCTTCCCATGGTGACACCTGGCTAAGTGTGGTAGTTCCCTCCCGTCGGAAATATTTCCTGTTGCACTATGGAACAAGAAGTTAGGAGAAATCTCTCCAACACGACACAGAAAGCAAAGCATAAACTGAATGGGCATTTTTCCATTTCCCTACTCTACTCTACCTCAAACTAAAAAAAGGCTATACAAACACCTTAATGTTTTACTTTTAAAGAGACCCCGTCACCAATGTAAGAAAATGCAGGCAAAAAGCAAATATTTTAACCCCTTGACACCGATCGCACGCAAATATGTGGCCTCTCTGCATTTGGGCCTTGACGCTGAGCGGCCGTATATTTGTGTGTAATTAGAAAGTACGTATGTGCTGAGAGCGTGCGCCCTGCGCGCTCCCAGCACTTGTGTCCACGACTCACGGAAAGGTCCCAATCTCCCGTTTCGATCGGGACCTTTCCCGATCATGTGACCGCCGTGACGGCGAATCACAGCGGTCACTTGACCCTAAAACCCCAACCCCCTCCCTCCTGGCTTCTGAAACTCTTAAAGGGCCGGGAGGCGCCAGTGCCAAGAGGTTAAATACTTAGGTGCAATGATTTTTTTTATTCTTTTGCAATGTGCCTTTGAACTTGGTACAAAATTTTGACAATATAACCTTCTAAAGTAGCAGTTGGGGAGGAGTGAGGAGGAATACTAAAGAGTGTCACTTGAGTGACTGCTCTGAGTATGGATTTGCTGACATCACATCCAAGATGGCCATGACCTTTAGGGCTTTTAGAGGTAAAAAAAAAAAAAAAAAAAAAAAAAATATATATATATATATATATATATATATATATATATATATATATAGATATGAATAAATGTGTTTAATGCACATATATTTTTATGGGAACATTTTTGTTAATACATTAGGCTGGCAACCGGGTCTCTTTAAGTAACTGGAATCCAGTAATAGTCACTATTCATATCTACTTTGCTTTTGACAGTAATACAGCATGAAAGGTTAACTGCATTTGGGGGAGTCATTAAATTAATGTGAAAATGCCACTTACCCAGAAGTCATTAGTCCTTTTGATAAAGCCTATTTAGTGCATTTTTCAGGGAACATTGTTTAAGTCTCTCTGTGTACATTGTACTCTAGTGAAGTCACTTCATTAGCCCAAAGGCTTCTGAAAAGAAACTGCACTGTATGCATGCTTGAGTAAGCAAAGAAGCCTTTATCTACTTGTACTCCCATTACAAAAGTCAACATATATTGTATATTTTTTTTGTTTCAGAAACTGAACTAAATTCTTGTGTGCTTAGGGAGGAATGTTTTTTCCATTCTGATTGGAAAACTGGGCAGAGTTGCTGAAGAGTGCTTCATCTGGATCAAAATTCCATCTCAGTTGTTACACAATGGTTGCTAGAGCTTTTTTTTTTTTTTTTAAGAGGGTGGGAATTTTGTATTGTAGGCCACCAAGGATCACAATCATACAAAAAGCATTTTTTCTAATTGCCATCAGTTTAATGTCTTTTTTTTCACAATTTTGTACACTTTTTGTATGATTATCTTTATGAACCTTGCTAGGATATATAGGTGAGGGAGGCCACTGGGACTTTTGGCTCAGATTGCCTAAAGTTCGGCATTTGGCCAAAAGAACCATTGTACAAATGGAGCTCCAATGGCCCCTGGCGATGCAGTGAAAAGCATTCTGGAAAAACTTGTCTATTTCAGGAATCTTTTCTAGCAGGTCCCTGGGAATAAAGAGATGCTTATTCTTCAGAAAATAGGCTGAGGAACTGTGCTCATAGACTTTTTCTTTTGTATTTCTGGGTTTCCACCACATTATGTTGGTTTTTGGCATCAGGTAGTTCAGTAGGAGGTATTAAGCCTTTAAAAGATAAATTCACCTTTGGGAACATGTTACATATTCCACCCGTTTTTAGGGCGAAACATGTAACATGTTCCCATAATCGCAGCCACCCCTCCCTCTGACAGTAAGGGGAGACGTCTCCCTGTACTATCTGTCAAATTTGAAAACCATGCGGGGCCTGGCCCACACGGCTGTATCATTCATTCATGGAATTCCGTGACTGAATGAACTGCAAGTCCCAAAAGCGATTTCTCCTGCACTCCGGGACCCAGGCCGGTGGTGAGTAGATGGAATCTACTCTGAGCTCTGAGGAAGAAGGCATGACCTTCGAAACGCATCAGCTGTACTGAGTGCCTACCCCCATGATGGGATTCGCGCTGGCCTCTTGCCTTTGAAGTCCCTTGGTGGACTTACATGCCTGTTTTTATTCACTGTTTGTGAGTACCATTCTTTTATTAAATACATTTTGGTTACTGAGGTAATGCACAAGGTTGGTGCGCTTCTTGTTGTTTC